GGTTAGGGTAGGGGAATAGAGGACCCATCTCTGGGGAAGTAGTTAATCAGGTGAGGCATCCCCAGCCAGGGCGTGGGCAGGAAAGTGTATTGACAGGCAGCTGCTGCTTCAGGCCGGGGTTCCAGGATTTACAACCCCCTGACGCCCCCCCAGGCACGAGCTGCCGCCGAGTGCAGAACGAATCGCAACGGTGGCCGCAACAGGAAAAGAGGTGTACATGTTTGTAATTGCTTAGGCTCTTACCCGGGCCTGCCCAACAATGGACCTTTGGCGAGGAAGTGTTGCATGAAGTCATCGCTTGATCCTCCTGCACAATGTCAGGATGCTCGTGAAACTACAGAGGTAATTTTTTTTTTCAGAACTAATGAGTTAACCTTACTTTTTAGGCTTCTGAGGAAACACTAAAATGTATGTCCTTGTGCACATCCTCATTAACTAATTAGGGCAAGAATAAAAAACAGAGGTCTGTATATTTATTGGTAACTTCAGTATTTGACAACACTTCTTTATGACGTTATTTTATTTAAATAGCTTAGCCCTAAAGGTCTTGATGCACATCTTAGGTGTGATGATTCGTGCAGCTTTTTCATACCTACCGATAGATTTAAGAAGACGTTTGAATTTTTTTTCTACTCTTTACCACCTGTGGCTTCAGCAAAGTTATAGGCATTGAGTAATCATCTGCGATCGCCACTGTTAAGGATGTCATTTTTAGCAGTACAGTTATGCTGATCATGTTGATTCATTTATGGATTTTATTTCACTCGGGTTTTCATTGTTTGGCCGGGGACACTTAGAAGCAGGTCTGATCAGAATCTTGGTCGTATGAAGAAATTGCTATTGCTCTACATTGAATTATGTTTCATTCATACTCAGTACCCAAGACATACAGGGCTCTCGACTGCAGTTTATTTCAAGGTAGTCTGATTGGACGATTTGTATTTTGTAAAATTTGTTGGCTGGAGGTGAAGACGGGAACAGCAGACCGTGATTGGCTGTTGAAGGTTTGATGGGTTGTTCATTTGGCACAGGCTGGGTGGCATGACAGTCTTGATTATTGCACGATCCCTTGCATTTCCGCTGCAAGGGTTTGTGGTACCATACATGGAATCGATCAGTCTACAATCACTGATCATGATTGAAACTGCAAAGCACAGGTGAATCCGTACTAATATGTGTACTTCCTCAAAGTTGCGTGTCTGTGAACCACTTCATATGGTGGGGGCATCAGTACTTGGTGCCACCACATCTAAATGATGTAAACTTTTCCCATTGGCAAATAACCTCTTTTTCAGTCTGAAATCTGTAACAGGTTAGATGTTATCAAGGAACAGAGTTTAATCAAATTTTTTTGGCCTAGGCATAGGTAACTGTCATTTTGAGCGATCGAGAAACCTTGAACAAATTATCATGGCAACAAAGTCCTCCTTTGTAATATCTGTCATCTCCTTAAATGATTTTTTTTTAGCTGAGCCCCGAACAACAAGAACAACGTTGGCTAATTGGTTAACAATGCCCAGATGGGAAAGTGCAGGAACTCGGAAATCCTGACACGTGGACATAATGAGACCTTGTTTGAATTGACAGGCACTAAGCAGGCTGCATCTAATTGGTTCGTCGCTCGGTTTGCGGGGAAAACAGGCGCAAGCTCTTTCCAAATCCGTAGGTATTAAGCTACGGTTTAGGAAGAAGAGCATCTTTTAGCAGTGAAACTACATGTACACGTACCTGTACATTAGGTCGTGCACAGCATGCAAGTTGCTTGTTCATGTACACGGTATATTTAGGCTTGAAAGAAATTTGTTGTCAGGAGTATTGCTGGTGAGAACTTTAAAGTCTCGGTTTGTTTGTTTGTTTGTTTGTTTGTTTGAAGGTGGTATGAAGTTTTCTGTGGAATAATTTACATACAAACTTGAACAGTGTCTCAGAGATCTGGCAAATTTTGAATATGTCTGATTTTCAATCATTAATGCTTTTGTAGAGACCTAAGAAATTCTCAGAGTATTCTGCAAGCGTTACAAATCTTGAGGTGTGTTGCAAAATTCTGTTATTGTAAAAATATGTACTTATTTCCATGAAAACGACAGGAAAAACAAACAAAATCCAACCAAATGACAACAAGACAAAAAAATCCCAGAAAGCAACCATTTACTTGATTAACCATACATGTAGGTAAGCTTCATACAAATCCCATTTCATTTTGCTCTGCATCGATAAATTATATGCTCACTTTTCAGACCGCAGCTTCATGAGTTTATCATGTACATGTATTTAATATTTCTATTCCGTTCACAGTAGAGGATTTACATGTACATACTTCATTGTTAGGGAAATGTGCAATTTACACGTATGACCGATTTTAACCATTTCAAGATCAGTTGTTTTGGAAATATGCCTAGGGACAATAAGGCAAGTTGTCATGCAGAACTGTACAATTTATTCACAGACAAGGTACTGCACGTTACTTCAGGGGAAGCTCTTGGAAATACTAGTAACCATGGAGTATTCCTCCAGGGCTGTAACCCTCGGAATGTCATACTGTATGTAGAGTGTATGATGGATGTTACTTGTGACCACTACATGATTAAACCACATGGCTAATTCAAAGAGGAAAGAACTGGTTGAATGAACTGGCTACTGGACTCCAAGGTACCTATTGATTTTAGTCGGGTGGGGCCATCGAGGAGGAAAAGAAATGGTTAAGGGCAGGGGAGGAAGTGACACACGTCAAGCGGGTGCGGGCAGGGCGGCAGGAGATGCACAGTGCAAATGTGGAAATGCCTGTGGATGGGCCCGAACTGCAGAAATCCACGGTGTGTGGCTAATGCCTTGTCGATCACGTGCAGACAGGGACACAGAGAGAGAGAGAGAGAAGGGGGAGGGGAGATTATGTTGCGTGCCACATGGCTGGCTAGTGTTAGACCATGTCTTCAAGCTTGCCGCCACCCAAAGATTGACTCACTCCCCAAGCGTCTTGGGCTCGAGCGCCACGGGGCTCGTCAGTTGTCAGTGCCCAGAACTGGGCTACCTCATATCAGTGAAGACAAACCCCCCCATCCCTGTATCTACACCAGTCTTTTTTTTTTCTCTCCCTTAAATCTGCACTTCCTATTTAGCGCCACGGTCATAGATTAGGCCGACAGTTCTCTTTGGATGTGGCTCAGTGCTGACTTGTGCTGTCAGCTGATATAAGGTATAGGAGATTGCAGTGGGTGGTTGTGTTGGACATTTTCAGCTGTGGTGAACTGTCTCCTTTATAACCAGTCCTTTGATGCCTGGTAATGCTCTTACAACTGGATTTATAAGAACGTGCACATGTAAGTGTTGAACACCTGCTATAGCCTCTAGCTTTTGGAAAGCATTTTGAAATTGTCAGGACTTTTTTGGTGTAATTTGGACATTTCAGCTTTACACAATGTTAATTATGCATACATGTACCGGTACATGTGCATATGAGTACTTACATCCTCTGTGCAACAATAACGGTCACTTCTTGTACACGTAGGAATTACACATATTTGAAGTCGCCACCGCCGAATGAAGAAAAATGTAATGTGTAACAGATGAACTTTTTGACGTTTTAAATTTTGTAATTGCACTTTGTTTTATAAAGCATGACGAAGGAATAAGATGCATACAGTATTGTACAGTTTCTCCTACTGAAGAACTACTTTTGCAGTATTTGTTTCTCAGAGACCATTTAGTCTAAAACATTAATTGTTCATACCAATTGTAAAATATGCACATCTTTTGAATATTATACATAAAAAGGGGATTCGGTTGCTGATTTTTTTGTTCTGACTTGAGCAATTTTGTGCAAAAGTTTTGTTGGTTGGATTTCATAAACCGAAGTTTCACATACTTGTACGTGCCAAAGCCCAGAGCTGTCCACTTTGCCACAATAACCCTTTTTTCCTGCAGTAAGATTCACGTACATGTATGCTGCAAACTCTAACTTGCATTGAGCATGAGACTCATGCATGTCAGGTTATTGACTCTCGTAAATAGAATTTCTCATGAATTACCCTCCCTCTCCCCCAAAAGGTGGAACACTATTAAAAGAGCCATTTCATCGGCCCTCTTTTGGCCATGGAATGAAATATTGTATGGTCTGTAACGTGTATCTCGTTTTGGGTGGGGAAAAAAGGAACAGTTTGATCAGCTGTTATCAAAGTGGTTGTGATATTAATTTTTTGTGGGGAGTGGGACTTGAATCCAGAGCTGAGGCAAATGGAGATTCAAGTTGGCTGATCATTGTTAAGAGTTCCAAATTGGTGTACTTGTACATGTGTATATGTACTGGGTACATCAGGCTGGTCCTGTTTGCTGTTGAGCTTGAGACACGGGGGTACACGAGGGTTTGACAAGTCAGTTGAGGAACAATGATATGATGAAATACACGTAGGTTGTGTTTTACTGTTTAAATGCTTGTGTCACTGGAAAGGTAAGGTGTAAAAATTGAGTCTAAATTAGTGGCTGGATACTCTGAAAATTTGACAGAAATTAACTTGGTCCGAGAGAATGGTTAGAAAGCTTGGCAAGCTACATTTTACACATGCACAGTAAATTGTACATGTGCCTGTGTGTTTTACAACTTTTACTGGGTAAACTTGCCTATTCCGATCACAGCTTGCAACCGACAATTGTCAAATATGGAAAAGTATATAGAAAATATACTACTGTGGCACCTCATGAAAGGGCACCCCCCATCCTTGTATTAAATTGTGCAATGTTCATTGTGTAAGTGAATATATTTTTATATTTGCTTTATTTCTAAATATTAACTGACATCATGTGAAAACTACTTCTTGATTATATTTGTGTGCAGGTTGTCCACTCACTCTCTTTGTCTGTTCTTTCTCTTCATTGCCCTGGAAGGCATGAAAGGAAAGTTCTATTGCCGTGGAGAACCGTGGCATTCACTGTTTGAAGTGAAAGTTGATTATGAATGAGGCTGGGATTAGAACTAAATCCTTGATATTCTTTCTTTTTTTCTCCAGAAAGAAAACGTTAAGAGATACCCAAACAAAAACAGTGGGAATTTTGTCACTGGATTCGACGTACATTCCAAGGTGTGTTTTCCATATTTTATTAATCTGCTGTTAAATTTGGTTTGAAAGTGAGATAATTACAAGCAAGAAAGGCTTTGTAACGTTACTGAAAACATTTTGCCTTGTGCATTTTCCAAAGGATAGGATGACGTTCCTTTCAATGAAAATATCAAGGTGGAATACAATGTAGTTTGATTTGTTATTTAGCTTATCTATAGGCACATTTGGTCAGTTTTTCTTGCAACTGACAATCCTTTTATTGAAATATGATACACAAGAAATTTAATAGATTAATGTAAGTTTACCTAAACTGCCCAGCAAATGAACATTCCAAGAGTTTTTGTTTGCTTATGTTCAGAGAGATTTCATCCATTAGATTAAAAATATTGTGTTTTTAACAATTAAATCCTTTTGCCAGGAGGCTAAAATTAAGAGGAGGGAGCGAGCCAGGAGATTTGGAATCAAGTCACCAGATAAAACAAGCAAAACCGAGAAGCTGTCCTCGGTGATTCTTCCACCAGGCTCTACAATCGGTAAGAAGTACAGTTATTGGGACTTAAAGCACTTACCCAGTAAGCTTCCCCCCCAAAAAAATGGTCTGCAATGCAGTAGTCAGCAGTCCGCTGTTATCAGTTCCTTGCATGGTGGCAAGTGCAAATGTAGAATGGCATTGATGCACTTTGGTTTGGAGGCTTGGGAATACTCCAGTTACTGTGCGAACACAAGTGATCAGTTGCCCTTGTGCAAGGCCGCATTGGTAATCATGAACAGATGAATTGTTTTGCTGTGAGTAGTTTGCCTATGCATGTAGGTCAAAACGGCACAAGCCAAGACTTTATACCCTGTGTAAAATAAACCCAGCGTTGCCCAAGTTACTTGTGAGCATTGCAAGATGTGAGACTAAGAGGCTTCAGAAAGATCTGTTGCATCCAACACGTGACTGCATGTGCATGAAGTGCAGTGCCTTTGCAGCGCAGATGAGGTACAAGGCGGCATTCGGGTCACCTACGAGTGCATGTAACTAGTACCACATTTGCTTAAATTACAAGTTAAAATGGCACATTCTACGTATATGCACATGTACATGTTTATGCGCTTGTATCATAGACATATTTGCTGAACACATAGGGGGTTCCTGCATGCCCTTACAAAAATGTCCCATGAGGGTATCCCATGGGAAAATTCCCCATGGGATTACATGGTGAATTGGCCACCATGTAGCATGGGATTTTTACGCATGGGATTTTGCCCATGCGTATTAAAAGAACCCCATGTAATCTCCCAAAATATTCCCATGGTGATTTAATTGTCATATCCCATGGTGATTTTCCCACATATCCAATGGTGATTTTCCCATTTGTCCCATGGTGGTTGCCCTATTTGTCCCATGGTGGTTGCCCTATTTGTCCCATGGTGGTTACCCTATTTGTCCCATGGTGGTTACCCTATTTGTCCCATGGTGGTTACCCTATTTGTCCCATGGTGGTTGTCCTATTTGTCCCATGGTGGTTGCCTTATTTGTCCCATGGTGGTTGCCTTATTTGTCCCATGGTGGTTGCCCTATTTGTCCCATGGTGATTGTCGATGGTTCCTTGCATCCCATGGTGATTTACCCATGCCTCCCATGGTGAGTGTCCTGTGCATCTCATGGTGACGGGCAAAGTTGCAGTCATCAAATCAACATTCCATTCCAAACTGTGTACTATAGTTCATGCCAATGCATTTTAATTAATGGCAGCAGCTTATATGGTTTAAAATACAACAAAGCCTCAAAGTGTACCTGTGTAGATGCCATATCAATGCAAATCCCAGTGTTCTCTTGATGATTTCAAAAATTTGAATAGTGTTTGTGTGGCGTTTCCATGGTGTCCGCATACACATTGTATTCCCATGTAGAGTATAAAAACCCTATGGTGTTCCCATGCTGATCAAAAAGCCCCATGGTGTTCCCATGCTGATCATAAAAGCCCCATGGTGTTCCCATGCTGATCATAAAAACCCCATGGTGTTCCCATGCTGATTATAAAATCCTATGGTGTTCCCATGCTAATTATAAAAGCCCCATGGTGTTCCCATGTTGATCATAAAACCCCATAGTGTTCCCATGCTGATTATATTCAACCAACATTATTTCTTTGCCAGTCCCATGGCATACACATGGGGTCCCATGGGCAGCCCATGGGATGCCCATGGGATCTGCATGGAACATTTTTGTAAGGGTGAACATAACCAAATTTGCCCCATGTACACTGTACATGTATATTTACGTCATCTCAACGGTAACGGGTACTGAACTAGACAGAGTGATAAATGGGTGCAACATTAAATCAATTAAACCGCCGGCGACCAATTTCCAAGTAAAGGATTGTAGAAGCAACCGAGTAATGTTCAGTTTCCTGAAATTTCCTTCACGGTGTGTGATAGCATGACACGGGGCTACTCAAGCTGCAGCAGAACTCTTCACTGGCTTGGCTATGGAATGACAGGTAATAGAAATCTATGTGCCCACGGTCCCTTACAGCTTTTTACTCATTAGCCTTAATTTTGCTGCTTGCAGGCGGTCACAGGGTTCGCGCAGAGGCCATTTTCATTTTGGGTGTTGACGAGATGAGCACACAAGATGTCTTCAACTATTTCAAAGATTATGATCCCTCATCAATTGAGTGGATCAACGACACGTCGTGTAAGCTTTTCCCTTCCTTATATTGCTAGTCTTAGTTTATTGTGTGTTTGTTGTCCGAGCAACTTTGTTTTAGTATAAGCCACATTTTGGTAAACCTAAACCTTGTAGCTTCTAGCCTAAAATTTGGGGCCCTTCCATGTAGATTTTTGTGTGGACTTTGACAAAGAGTTAGTGAAGTAAAAAGTTTATTCACATGTTTAAACCAATTATGTGTTTAGTAGTTTGAGCTTTGCAACACTGGTACCTCAAGAAGTACCATACACGAGTAAGCAATTTTGTTAGTTTTTCTCTTCCGGGTGTATCCAACTGCAAACACCTACATGTAATCCCAACTTCTAATTTTGCTTGACTTCTTTTGCATTTTACTTGATGTTCTGGTTTTGATCAAGTCTAAAGAATGTGCCATTGGAATTGATCTGCAAAGCAAACATGTAGCCCTTTGAAAGAATGAGAACATTTTCCAGTGAAAAATTTCAAATTATCAAGAGGTCAAGGGGTGAAATCAATTCAGTTGAAGCAAGTCATACATGACTGAGAAATGGTGAATAAAAACAAATTGCAGAGTTGTTTGGATTCGGTTCCAAAATTGCATCTTCAAGCCAGTTTTTGTTCAAGGAGAAAAACTTGTACAAAGATTTAGTCCAAGTTGATACAGTGTACCCACTGCCAGTCAGATTCACACAGTGAAAAGATTTTGTACAGGTTTCTTTCCAGGAATTGCTATTGTTACTACAAGCTCTGTGGTTCTTTGAACAAAAAAAGCTTCCTTTTTGGAGCACATCCAGAAAGCTAATACAAAAGACTTCCTTCCTTAAAAACGCAAGTTGGGCTTGGCAATGTCGGATGTGCCCAAAGTGCGGCTGTTGGGCGCTCTGAGGTGGAATTAACGGGGGCAAATGCTGTTCATGATAGAATTGAGCCATTCCATCCTTGAGAACAGCGATGGCTGTAGTGTTGCCTTTGTTGAATATCACATACATGTAGGAAGTGTGGGTCCTGTGTAGGGTGGTTGTCGTGTTGGCCGTGAGTCATGTTTGATGTGGGGGAGGGGGGCTCGTGTAACGTGATCAGTAGGGAAGGATTAACGGGGGAAGTCCCTTCGCTTCAAGGATGTACATGTATGTACCTGCACAGTTTTATGACTTTGATTGATATATTTTGGTGCAGAAACTTTTTTCTGGCAAAAATAGCTCTGATGTAATCGGAAAGTTTTTAAAGGGTGGAAAATCATGAAACCCTTTCCTTCAATCACAAATTTTGTTCTCATTTTGTGAAGATTGTTCAAAATAAGTCAGTTAACATGCCAACAGGTTTGGTGGAAATTTCTATTATCTTTGTGATGGTTTTTGTAGGTAAAGTATAACACTGAGCCCTCTGAAATGAACAGTGTTCAACATACCCTTCCACTTCTTCAATGTTTTGTAGGATTTGGCAGGATGGAGGAAAGTAGATTCAGTTTGCCTCATGGGACTTGATATCCCATGCAGAGGTGCAAAGAATGTTGCTATGTGTTCTTGGTGGATTTTGAAAGATCCATTAAGAATCCTGGTCCAAATTCTTGAGGAATGAGGGTTGATTTGAAATGTCAGTTTCTTTTTACTTGCAGGTAATGTGGTATGGCTGGACCCCCATTCCGCTGCCAGGGCGTTGTTCAACATGAGCCAACCCCAGCACATCCTGCCCCAGCAAGTACATGTACTTCCCCCGCAGCCCTCACCACCCCCAGTACGGGAAGAACAAGAACCAGAACCCATGGAACAAGAGGAGGGTAGGCTGAACTCTGTCAAGCTTTTCCTAGTGCATCCTGGGCCCTATTTCACAGTGCTGTTAAGCACACAATTTTATGCTGACTGAGGTTGCGTGTATTTCACAGAGACTGTAAGTAGTGAGCACATCGAAAGGCACTCATACTGTACCTTGGACGAAAAACTTTGCTTAACATCTCTACTGATGTGCGCGTAACTGTAAGTAAAACAATGCCAAGTACCACCATGAAATAGTGCTCCCAGTTAGCAAAATTTTTCTGTTATTGTAAACACTACTCTCCTGCTAAGCATTAAGCAGCGCCATAAAATATGTATTAGCCCTTTGCATTATAGGCACCATACAGGTACATGGACATTGTATACATGTATGTATTAACCATTTCCTGCTGGGGAGCCTGGTTTTAGAGCACCATGTGTTAAATGCGTGGACGGGGTCTCCGAAATCGGACAGAGGGAACTGGGCCTTGTAACAAAAGACTGTACTTGGAATAAAAGACCAGGCTGCTGGGCATTACCGACATTTTTTCACCCTCATTAGTGGAGATAATCCAGCCTTGTTTGAAACAGTATACCACGGTTTGGGGCATTTAGTGCGAGTGGATTACCACCGGGGACAAAAGCGCTCCACCACCGCAGCGATGAGACACACAGCACCACGGCACGCTAATCTGGCCCCTATTGAAAAGAGGTCAGCAGTTCACTGTGCCAGATTTGTGAACAAAAGAAAGTTACATAACACTGCACAATCTGGGCTCTTTTTACAAGGCTGCAGGCCTGGCTGAAATACTCGGGCGTCAATAGATTTTGTCTGTCAGACTAGAGTGGCAACCAGACAGTAATTCCTGTGGGTGTAAACGTCCATTAATTGAAATGATGAATTTTGAAAAATGAGAATCTTGAAAAAGTCCCGACTATGTGCACTGCATGTGTCAAACCACCCGGCAGCAAGTGGTTAAACCTAATAGTCCTCAATCCTTCACCTGTTGGAGGACTGAGGACTGTTAGGGTTAAAACCGTGGTGTGAGGTCACTTGAGTACATCAGCTTGTTGACATGTTTTTTTCCTTGTTGGATTTCAAGAAAGTGTCCTCATTTTTCTGGTTAGTCAGTGACCTTGTCCCACATGCGCATGTCTTTATGATTCTGAGCACCCATTGGATAATGCACCAACTTTGCACAACTTGTGGTTCGGAGGGTTTTATTGCCATTCTATGCAAGTAGGCGTGGTTAGATCTCCAACGATGTCATATTAACGAACTGGATTGGGCAATGCTATGCACATTTAACACTGGACTGGATAGTTCAGCGACTGATGAGGAAGTTTATGCTGGAATAGTGATGAGAGCCTTGTTCTTTTTGCTCACTCAAGTAGTTCATCCGGTTTGTAAGTGTGACGTCACTTCAGTTTAAACAACGCCCACTGCACATGCACTGCACTTAGATTTACATGCATTGATTGCTGTTTACATGGAATCATCGAACCGAAAGTTAACGCGCATCTTCAGCAATCGTCCAGTGGGAGCCTGGATATCTTGGCGCGTCCGCCTTTGTGATGAAGTCACTGATGAACCGGATAGGTTCGTGTACTCTGGCCAATAAAATAAAGTCATGTAGATGAATTCAAATGTATGCCCCCTTTGTGATATTTGTTTCATTCATAGAAGATGACGATGACGATTTCTTGGATCTCGTCAGTGACCGGGAAACAGGGGAGCAGGAGAGACATCGACGCAGTACCAGCCGCTCCCCAAACCCGACCCCCTCTGCTGCCCCCTCTGCTCATTCCCCACCCACTTCGTCAACACTGGGGAGAAGTATGGATGACAACAGTACAATGGAGGATGACATGGACATGGGCCCAGTCCACCTCAGCCACGAGGAAGCCACTCGTACAGGCTTGCCTTGCCCTGAAGCCGAAAAGGAGCTGGTCATGCGATATGCAACAACAGGTCAGTTTCAACAGTTGGAGGGTAGGAATACAGGACTTGCAGTCCAGGGCCCAATTTCATGGCACTGCTTACCTAGAATTCTGTGCTTATGATCTCCATTCTGCGTTAACTGTGCAAGCAGAAAAATTCTGCACTAACCCTTCAAGCACAGAATCCTCAGTTACGGGATGTGCGCATGCGCACCCGCCACAATTCCTCGCTTACCCTTAAAATACGTTCGGCGTAAGCAAATTTGCTGCTACAATAAGTGCTGATTTTTTGCTTGCGGAAAGTAGCGCCGTGAAATTGGGCCCAGATATGGGGTCATGGAGTGTGTTCATGCTTAGATAACCCAGGTTTAGTGTTATCACTGCTGTTTGCTTTTGCTTAGGGTAACTTGACGTGTGAACTTTGGAGGCTTGACAGATGCAGTCTTGTGAATTTGAATCTTGACTCAGTGAAGTCATACTGTACCATGCATAACCTAGGCACAGGTAAACCTGCATTGGGAACCAGGAACTAGATATTTGAATGCCATTGCTGCTGTGCACCTTACATCTGTGCAGAGCTCCGTCACAGTTGTACACATTCAGATGGAAATCAGTCTTTTCTGCTCAGTTTTGTATGTGCACAAACCAGCTCTTACGTAATGTGTATCCCCTGCATCAACTGTTCCTGCCTGGAGGGAGTGCGACAGATTGGTGCATTTGATTTGTTGCTTCTTTCTGATATCTTTCAGCTGACAAGAAGGTTTTTGACCCTAGCCACCGCAGTCAGTACTACATCAAGTACGGAAATCCTAATTTTGGAGGCATGAAAGGACTCATCAGTGGCTCGCTGTGAGTGTGGCAGTTGTTTATATTTTGCAGTGACACCTTCTTTCATTAACCCCTTCGTTACGGGAAGCGGTAAGAGCCGCCATAAAAATTGAGATTCCTCAGCCCGCTTTTCAGCTATTATTCTCTGCCCACGCTCTAGCGAACACGGTGAAAGAAGGCAGACCCTGGCTCTTGTATATAAGGTGATTGGCCTTTGTGTGTTGCTAAGAAATGAAAAGGCCGAATTTGCATCATAATCAGCAGCTTCACAATAGTCCCCACTTTGAAAAGAGGCAACGGGAATGTGGAAGCGTGAATAGAGCCGCATGCCACCGAACAATGAGCCTTTTCACTGTGTAATTCAAAGCGTGTAGAGCTTGCAGGGCCACAAACTAAGAATTGGCAGGTGGCCTTCGTGGCCATTCTTGGAGTCGGCTTTCAGAAAAAAGTCCCAGCTTCAAAAGAGGTTAACAAAATTGATTCCAATTGAACAGTTGCTTAAAATTTCAATGGAGCCTAGTGACAGTACTGAATCCAAGCAGATTTATCAAAGCAATCAGTTTCAAATATAGGTGTCTCATGCATTTTGTTCACCTGAGTGAGTGCATATTTATGATAGAGTCAGTGTGAATAACATAAACATTCATCATTACTGCCATGATGTTATCCTTTTTCTGGCAGAAAGGATTCATTAAAGGAGACATATTTGTATGTACAATGTTGTGCAGAACAATCGACCTGAGAATGTTTTGCGACCAAGGGAATTCTCAATCGGATCGTCAGTTTGGATTCCTGAGTTGCAAATACCTACCCTGTCTTGACCCAGTGCTAAAAAACATTTTCGCACGGGGTGACACAAAAGTCATAAATCGTAATTAAATACTTCCAGCTGGGACAAGCCGTGTTAAACCCCAAGGTGAATGCTCAGTCTTTTTTTCCTACTAACAAGCTAAAGAGCCTTGCTAACGAGGTACCTGTCAGGGCTTGTCGTTAGCTGTGACAGGTGCTCTTAAAGGGGGTTATTTAATTAAAACAGACATCCCTGGGAGGGAATGATACAATGGCAGCAGTGCTGCCTTTGGGAATAACTGATTAATACTTGTGTTTTGGACAAATGTTACTGGTAGCCTTATCCTCTAGCCCTCTGTTAAAGTGTGGTCAGGGCTTGAAATACTACTGGATGTGTCCATCAAACAGCTTTCTAGTGGCGAATCTAGGAGATTTCAACAAGAGAGGGTACACACATGCAGTTGTTGAAATCAACACGTACAGAGACCAAAGTTCTTAAGCAGTTAACCGAAAGTTTTAACAGTGTCTGACAGCGTTTCAGTGAAGGAATTTCAGACTCAATTCTCAACCCCTTTCTGACAGAGTACATAACCACCATTACCTCGTAATGTACACGCAGTTGAAATCTTCTGTTGATATTACTGAAGGTTTCCGTACGTGGTTTTCATGTTGTCTGTACTTTTTTCCACATTGTCATTTTGTGTTCAATCAAAAAAGGCCCCTGCCTCCCCCGACCGCAGTCTTGAATCATGGATAAACTGTTTTCTTAAAACTCAGGAGAACAAAAAGTAAGCAGGGTGGGGATTGGCTGTTTATGGATAACATCCTCTCTTTTATGCTGGTCTCTCCGACTAACAGGAAGAAAAAAATTAGAGAGGGTAAGTTTGTCCCGGGCCAACGCAAGCGTCGCTATGGCGACGACGATGCCTCAGACGATGAGGACAGACAGGAGTACGCGCGGAAGCGGCGTAACCATGGCAATGGGGATGACTCACAGAGTCACCGGAGGATGGAAGAGAGAGACTCGGATGATGGCGACAGTGTGGAGATGGATCTTCGGCTGCTGACGAAGCCGGTTCAGCCGCGCCGACCGATGAGGATGTACGCCGACGATCTGGAGGATCAGATCAAGGCAGTGAGGTACATGCTAATGAGAGTTACCATCCCCCCCCCTTTTCCTCCAAGGTCAGACTGCTGTCTCAACTCCGCCCTCCCCTTGGCTCCTTCTGACAGGAACTCATAAATTCTACTGATTTAAAGCTTAAGTTCCAAATCCCAATCAATTTTGTGGGACAACTGCAATGTACATGTATAAATATTATACTTGAACCTGTTTCCACGTCATCCAATTCAACTGAGCATTCATGTTGGAATTTGGTCAGACTCTCATTATGTTTTTTCCCCAGACAAAGTGTAATGTTTAATGTATGTGTAGTCACTCCGATAGTCAGACAGTACATGTACATGTACTGAGCTAGTTGTCTTGATCTATGTTGTCTCCTGGTCAAGAAAAAACACAGAGTCCTTCACTTTTTGCAGTTTTCAGTGTGGGGTTTGCAGTTTAGAAAAAGTATACATTGTGCTTCTACGCACTGTATACATCCTGAAGTAAGTTTTCCTACTGTGGTATGATTCAGCTGTGCAACAGTTATTGTACATCGAGAACCAGTACTTTACTAGAACCCTGAAATATTACCAGTGACGTCATGGTATTACATGATCACATAGTTTCCCTGTGCTCAAGGGCATGTTTTGTGACCTGAACTACGAACTTGTTTCCAGCTTTGGTTATTGGTTAGGCACTTGTATGATTGGATTATGCCCCTGTGACGTCATTGTTCAAACCGAACAAAAACCGAAGGTGTGAGTTGGTTCAGTGCAGGTTCAAAATGGCAGAAAAGAAACAAAAAACTTTGTCGCTCCTCAAACGAATGAAATTATACATTTCAAAATTTGTTACTTGCAGCAAATCAAAGAGATACAGTGGAACTCAGCTATAACGGACACGACGGGGTCCACGCTAAATGTTCGGTACAGTGGTCGTTCGGTATAGCGAAATTAACTGCCGAACGTTTTGTTGCCATGTTGAATAGCGCCCTCTCTTGTCTAAATGAAGTGCACCCTATTGTGATACTACGATTTGCTGTTTTCATGATGTTTTTGCCATTGCATTCACGTTTGAGATTTCTAGAAATGTATCTGTTAATTATTTTTGTTTTTTCATGAAATCTTGCGTTACAAAATTGATATTTAATTGAAAGTCATGAAGCTACCGCTCAGGATCGATCTCTGGTGCATGCTGTGGCAAATCTTGGTTGATTTGCAAAGTTCTGCATAATGTTCGGTAGGTTTTGTGCACAAAATATTGGGAGCCAAGGACGATGTTTGGTACAGCCGAATGTCCGGTATAGCGGTGTTCGGTATAGCGGCGTTCCACTGTACTTACTTCTAGAATGTACGTGGAAAAGGAAAACAGTGCCGGTGAGAAACTTGCCGAATACTGAGTGAAAATCATGTTCATCAACAGTGTTTTCTCTTTCCTTGTGCTTTGCCTCTGTCAGATGACGGAACTGTTTCTGGTTCTTGGTTATGTGGGCCACTCTTAACGTGTTCCCGGTCACTGCATTGACGTCGCAAACATGTTTCTGATTAGGGGTTGCCAAACCCGCCCCAGCTTTTGTTGCTGTAGGCAAAAGTTTGGTCATCAAACATACGTCGTGCTTTGTTCATTGGATGGCAGGAGTTACTTTCATGCAAAACATAGTGGCAGATTCATTATCAAATACCATGTAATGATTATCGACTGTGCTGTGCATGGTTTTCGTAACAATGCCGATAGGACACTTGATGCTGGCTTTGCATACTCTAATTTTTGTCATTTAACAAGATGTTGAAGACTTGCCTACTGCACTCTACGTGTATTGGCATGTACAGTGTACAAGTGCTCTTTGTTTGGGCTGTGGCAATGCTTACGTCTTTGCAGCCTGTTCATTGCAGGCCAGTGGGAATGGACAACATTACGCACAGTATATAAACTGCAAGATGACTACGATCCTGCATTTATTGTATTTGTTCTGGATCCCACAAAATGAAGTTTAAGGCCATTTTATCAGTTATTCTGTTTAAGTTTGCATTGTAAAGTTGCTCTTCATTGTGATGTACAAGCATCTTTTACTCTGGCATCTTGATTGAAATGGATATTGTGTAGGTGAAAACTGTTCAGGGTGGCTGTTGAAATCCATCGTGCAAGATTCTACTTAGGGCCTGTAATCTCAAAAGTGGCTCTGGAGACTTGTGACTCATTTTGATGGGTTGGATCATCGTCAGTCAGTTCCCCGTTCATGATGAGCGTAGTCTGAGGGAACTTCTGATGTGTGAATAGAGGAATTTAATTTCTGTCAGTCTGTCGTTACAAGATATTGTTCAGAATTCATGAGTGACCTGTATGGAGCCTCAGGATTCCTGTGAGGCCGAGCTTCTTGATCTGTTGCACCTTGCCAAAATGGGAGGAGAGATTGAAGTCTTGTCCTCTCCTTTATGGCATTCCTGGATTTACCAGGCTGGTTGCCATGTCAGGTTGCCATGTCAGGTTGCCATGTTGATTCAGTATGGCTGTGCCAGATGAAGTGAACCTCAGGATTGCATGCTATTTGAGCCAATCACAGATTGTTGCGTTTTATGTGTGTCCCAGCTTCCAAAAATGATTGCATCGTGTTTCACGCTTGCAAATGAACTTTGGCATTGAGAACTTACATGCTTCCAATTCCCCTGAGTTAAAATTTACACAAATTACGCGAATTGCACGCTACCTATAGCACCAGAAATTAAATTTCTTGCACAGAGTTTTTGAGATAATTTCATTTAGGTTGAGGAAAACAAAATTCACCATAGTTTTTTCCTACCAGAAATTATCAAGGTCAGCAAGTATTTCCCTGGTAATGCATGTGTCAGTCGAATCCGAGAGAGTCATGCCAGTATTGTCACTGGTCGGGTGTTATACAAAATTGAAAGAGGATATTGAGTAACCCAAGACAGAATTTTTGAGGTCCACTCCAGGCAGGGAGTGGGACTGTCATAAGGTCAGTAGTCCTGGTTTTTTTTTTTTTTTTTTGGTTGATGGTTATCGATGACAGTTTTTCAACATGGGAAACATTTTCCTGGTTCAAAGCTAGTAAAAGAAAAGCCAAGGTCCCATGTCTGATCACACCCAGTGGAGTCTGGATTACGGCATTTTTTTTCCTGTTTATTATATTGTCATTCTCATTTTGTCTAGACATGAAACATGTGCACAGTGGCAACGTTCCAGGTTTCAAGAAACTGATGATGAGTGTTTCATGTTAGGATGTGTCATGCGTGTTAAAAACTCATATACATGTATATACCAGTACATGTATTTGATAGGGCTGCAATACATGCTCTGGCATGTGGCCTTTGTTGAGCTCTTGTAATCAGGTACTGCCTCAGTACAATGTAATTGTGCTTGATTTCGTTCTTATCTTTGAGTCTTTTTTGTAAATCTGGTTCCAACTGGCAAATTTTAATAAACGGCCGAAGTTTTAGTTTAATGCCTTTTTGGAGCCACTTTTATGCAAATTATGCCATGTTTGTAAGTCAGTTCTTGACAGCTGTTCAGTTTGTATATATTCCATGTTGAGAATACTCATATTCATCTTGGCACTTCTCAAAAAAAATTAAAATAAGTTAAAGTTCATTTGAATCGCTTGTAACTTGATTGATGTTTGATGGCTTGCGATGGACTTGTGATGGGCTGGACTACAACAGCAGTCATTGGGAGATGCTGCTTCATATAAAATCACTGTCATGCTTTATTGTGTTAAGCAGGGTTTCCATCATTTCAGCTTTGTTTGGTTTCTAAGTTTAGCAGGGTGCATAGAGTTTACGGCTCTGAGTTTCAGTGAAAGTGAAACAGAAAACTGATGGTAAAAAATAACAGGTCATCTTGAAATCTACTTCTCACTTCTCTGAAAAAGTTTCATTTCCTACCTAGAAAGGTGTTCAACAACCAGTTGTTTAATTTGATTAAACATTTTCAGTACAGGCACATAAAACATGTGTCCCGGCCATCACCATGTCAAGTGGCCAATTTCTTTTGTAAGGAAATTCAGGACTGAGTTGTAAGGGACAGAAATTTGCCCGGTAACAATTTTGGTCCCCATAACTATGGTTCAGCACTTGTGTTGAGCGATTACTTTATGAGTGTACTTTTCTGTGTGGATTGACTTATAGAGCTGCTTATTAAGGATGATTCAGTGGAAGTGCTTTGTGTATTATGCAAGTACTTGAATCAATACGAACCATGATTGATGTGATCCAACATGCCCTGAGCTGTTTTCCCTTCATCCCATGGGGGAGGTCTTGATGATTACTTGGGCAGATTAAGCAGGATTAAGGCTGTCAGGAGCAGGAATGGGGATTTTGGAGATGACAGTAACAATGGCGATCCTGAAACTGATGGTTTGCATAACCGGGGGGGAGGAAGGGTCAAAGGGCCATGACTTGGTGTCATACGGGACTCGACGGTTTCTTGCTTTGTCATTTACATATGTGTGCGTGGTTACCCAACGTTTGTTTGCGAGGAATCGGTGTTGTGTCATGTTGCAGTACATGTATGGGGATGGTGTCATACCTACTGGTATTTTACATTTTACACATGATGTCATTGTCATCTGGCCTGGTGGAACAGAAAGCTACATACAGGAATCCCTAATTTGTTGTAAAATTTGCTGATCTACAGTGGCACAGTCATCACTTGTGTTATGCTTGCATGTACTCTTTCTTTGACTTTGTATTTTCCGAAGCAACATGTCTTTCATCGAGCTCAATCGGGTTGCACATACGGGACCTTAAAGACTTGAAATGTCAGGAATTATGATGCACATCAGTTTTTTGGTATTTGTCCTTTTGATTTCGTCCCTGGTACAACCGTAAAACTAGGTTCTTATCTCATGTTCTTCAAGCTACAAGTACTGTACATGTGCATGATGTACATGTACAGTGTATGTTGATAATATGTAGAGTATATATACAGGGTACCTCCCAACAGAAACTTGCTGAACTCTTAATAAAGATACTAATAGTAACTCAGCAGTGGAGTGACTGTGACATGGTCCCATTTGGCA